GCAGTGGACCAGAACGACCCTTGTTACCCCCCACAACAGGGGGCCGGGTGGGCGGGTTCCCTCCTCGGCATGGCGGTGGGGGTGGTGGCAGTGGCTCTGTGGGAGGAAAATAACACACAGCTGTGAGTAGTGGCCTTTTCCACGGAGCAGTGCAGGGCTTTCCACGAACACCAAGGGACTTCAGTATGTCTGAGGTACCGACCTCCAGGGCTATGGAAGGAGATCTGGGCTTACCTTGCCTCCTCATCTCCTGCCGCACTGCCTCCAGCCCGCCTTGGTCCTCTATGAAGTCATAGATGAGTTTGGAAGTCTCTGCATCTGTGAGCTGGGCCTCACTGATTCCTGCCCTGGAGAAGAGGCTCCGAAGATCTGGGTCTAGGTTGTTTACCTGTCCAGGACAAAAAAGGCCAGGCAGGGGTAGAGGAAGAAGGCACAGAGGGAGGGGCAGGGTTATCATGGGCCAGCCCAGGCAGGGATCTAAGCAGTGGTCTGCGGAAGGGCAGGACGAAGGTGAATGGGGTGCAGGGGCCTTTGGGGTTACTCACATCAAATCCATTCTGGGGGTCCCAGCCCACGTGGCTGACATGTCTGGAGGAGGGAAGCGAGTCCAGTGAAACCCACTACCCTCCCCTCCTGACGAAGCCCTCTTGCCCTCTCCTGCCCAGGGGCACTCAGGAGCCAGCATGTGGGCCTGAGTCCAAAGGAGGAAATGAGTGCAAGCAGTCAGGGGATCAGACGGGGCCCAAAGTTTGTGGCCCCAATATGTCTGTCCCTCTTGCCACCATCCATCCACTCCATTTTTTTCTTCACCTAACCATTCATAGACCACTGATCCCATACACCTGTCCCTACGTCCACCTGCTCAAACATGTCTGTTTACCCCTTTGTCCATCAACCTGATTTCACAATAGTCCATTTATCCACCTATCTACCAGCCACATGCCCACCTTTCCATCCATTCACCCAACCCCATACTTCAACCAATACATTCACTCACTTGCCTGTTCATCTGTCCATTCGCTCACCCACCCACACGTGTTCCTATCCCCTTCCACCGCCAGGGGCCCACAGGGGAAGGGCTCTCACTTGAATCCGCTGGGCGCACCAATATCAGCCTTGCTGATCTTCTTCTTCCCTGAGCGTTTCTTATCAGCTGGGCCGGGGCCAGGGGCTGGGAGCCCACGATATCGTGAACTTGTGATGTCAGGGTTCTGGATGTCCACTGTAGGTAGTCCCAGGGACAGTGGGACAGCTGGTGGACCTGTGAAGAGCACAGGGGAATGGGCCATTCACTCTCCTCCCTACTGGCTAAAGCATAAGGATAAGAAATGGGATGGAATTAATATGAGAAAATGAAAAAAAAATGGAAACAAAGTCTGTTAATAGGGAGGGATGGAGCGATTGAAGGGAGGGCAGGGCAATGGGGAAAAAAAAAGAACCAAGATGGATCATGTAAAAGTGCAAATTCCCAATGATGAATGTCATTATAGTGTATACCTAAAATGTACCACTAAAATTAATTTAAAAAAAGAAAGAAAGAAATGGGAAGGCTGCTGGGGATTTAGCTCAGTGGTGCCACCGCCTGCCTCACAAGCACAAGGCCCTGAGTTCAAACCCTGATACCAAAAAAGAAAACAAGAAAGAGAAGAAGAAAGTAAGTGTTCGATGGTCATGGAGAGAGGGAGTGAGGGTTCCAAGGGCTTGTGTAGAAGTGGGCAGCTACCAAAGACCACTCGCGCATTCATGGATTCATTCATTTATTCATTCACTCCTGCTAATCATTGAAGTATTTATTCATCCATTCCCTGATTTGACTGGTTCATTTGGTAAATTGTTTACTCAATCATTCATTTAATCCTTTTTTTCTTCACTGGCTGGATTATTGTCATATAAACACTGTGCATTCATTCACTCAATCATCCATCCATGTATTTATCCACCTTCACATGCCCCTATTTACCTATACATCTATTTCTACTTTCAATCTCCCATCAGTTCATCCTTCCACTTAGCCATCTATCTGCTACCAATCTATCCACCCACCCATCCACACACCCAGTACCTGTTCATCCATCCGCATACCCATCCATTTACCCAATCATTCATCCACCCACCTCTTCACCCACTCATGCATCCACCCACCTACCCATCCATCTAGCCTCTCTCCACCAACCCATCCATCAAGAGATACTGGAAAGGGCTGGGGATTTAGCTCAGTGGTTCCGCCGCCTGCCTGGCAAGCACAAGAACCCGAGTTCGATCCCCGGTACAAAAAAAAAAAAAAAAAAAGAGAGAGAGAGAGACAGAAAAGAGTCACCACTTACCCCCTTGGTCCCCACCTGGATGTGGGGGCAGAGGTGGGAGCCCTCCTCTTCTCTCTGGGAAGATGGAATGGGTCAAGAATTGTCACAACCCTGCCACAGGTTCCTGGGCCAGCCCCTTATTGCCCCTGTCTGAACTGAAGGACTCACCTTCATTGGCTGGCACTGGCGGTGGTGGTAGCTGGCGTCTATCTGTGGCTAGACAGGTGGATTCAGAGCCATAAGAAGGGCTTCTCTAGCTCTCCATCCACACATTCCCTGTGCCCAACCACTGTCCTCCACCAGAGCCTCCTCACCTCCACTTTGCCTCTGATTCCTTTTTTGTATCTTCTCCTGCACCAGGGCCTGGAAGGCCTGGGCCTCGCCCTCATCTGCAAAGTTCAGCCCCACCTGGCAGTCCTGCACATGCCTTGGGTTCAGCAGCGTTCCAGGCTCCTTGCCTTTCCCCTCTCCTCCTCACACCCCAACCAAGGCCCAATGGACCGTGGGCCACTTACATCTCCAGCAAAGGTGTGGAAGAAGCTTGTGGGAGCTAAGTAGACCAGCTGTGAATACAGCTCCTGTTCCCAGAGCAGCCGGCCAGCCTGGAGAGGCAGGGTGGGGGACACACCAGCACTGAGACACACACGGGGGGGTGCGCCTTTGGTACCTGGCCAGGGACTGTGGTGTCCAGATTTTGGGCCCCAGGCTCTGATCTGGAGATTTTCAGATCAGCATCAAAGAGTTGGTGGTCTAGGGCTCAGATGTCTAGGGTTGGAGTTGGTATGGAAAGGCTTTACTTTGTGACCCTAGATGTGGAACTTGGGGGCTCAAATTTCAGAATTTAGAATTCCAGTCCCAGGTACATTTAAAATGGTGAATTTGAAACAGATCTCAGGTTGAGGCATAATTACAGTATTCCTTGTTTTCTTTTTTTGAATCTGTGGAACAGATTAGGCTTAGGAGTATATTACTATTTGGGTACGTGAAGAGATCTTGCCAGGGAGACCTGGAGTAGGTTGTCTCAGACCTAGAAAGGTGAGGCAGAGTTTGGGATCTGGGTGGCTCCTTGGTTCTGGGGCTCAGGGATTCACTACCCAACTGAGGGCTCAAGGTTATGGACACAGATCTGCTGGTGCGGGTGGAGAACTGGCTTGCTCGTCCAGTGGGCCATGGGTCACCTGAAGGCCATAAAGGCGGATGAAGTAGGACTTCTGCGGGTTGTCCTTCACGAAGCACAGGGCCCCACAGTGTTCCATGGTCCAGTGCTGGGCTCCACGGGGCAGCGCCAGGTACAGCTGAACAACTGCAGTGGCCAGTGTCTGGGGAGAGAGTAAGGTCAGTGGCGTCTGCTCAGTGATAGCCTGAGGGTCCAGGAGCCAGGCCTAGGCCTTCCTTGCCCATGGCGATCATTGGCTTGGAGGTAGAGCTGCAACCAAAGGGAAGGTGAGTAGACACGGAGATCTTCCTGGTATGGGGGACAGCTGGTAAATGGGTCTTGGGAAATGGGATGAAGGACGGGGAAAGAAGTAGGGAAGGATGAGAAGAAAGAAGAGGAGCAGGGAGGGATGGGGAAGTGGAGGGGGCGGAGCGGAAGAAGAGAAAAGGGAGGGAACCCAGAGGGCCAGGAGATTGAGCCCCAGCTCACCAGGCATTTCCTGCCGAGCATCTCGAAGAGGCGCTGGTTCTCATGGTCCTGCAGGAGGCTAGAAGGAATGTTCTGCTGGGCCGCTGCTCCCCCACGGCCCCCGGCCCTGCCTCCTACAGGGCCCCCACTCATGGTTCTTCTGTTCTCCTCTCTGCCTGGGTTCTGAGTGCAGGGTAAGAAGAGGAACTTCCGCAGTGAGCAAGGGAACAGGAAGTGCAAAAAACCACAAGGGAAACAAGTCCTCCCGGGCCCTGCAGTAGGCCTGGCCTCTGCCTCGCTGGGACAAGCTTGAGCCCTCCTCCTTCAGGTTGGGGCTCTCCTCCGCTTGACTGGCTTATTCCATCTTCTTGACCAGCTCCAGCCTCCCTCCTCTTTCTGACTCTTTGGGGCTCATCTTCCTCTGCCGGCCTCAGGTTCGCCTCCTTCTGCTGGCGGTGAGAGCTGAGCCGTCTTGGGCACTTCCGTAGGCTGACACCATGGGGAGTGGTCATGGGGTGCTCAGCCTCTTTCCTGCCCCAAGGACCCAGGTAGGCTAGAGTCAAGTCAGGAAAGGTTGCGGCAGCAGTTTCGCCTGTTAATTACAGATCCCCAGGAAGGCGTGGTGGTGCATGCCTGTAATTCCAGCACCCTGGAGGCTGAGGCAGGAGGATCACTGGGAGAGGCCAGCCAGAACTATATAGTGAGACCTTGCCTAAATAAATAAATGAATAACAGAGCCCCAGGGAGATCCATCCCTCTTCTGAGCCCCAGACATTGCAACAGTGTACAGTATAGGCTGGAACTCAGGGCCTCATAGCACATCCTTGCCTCCCTGTAGTTCCCAAATGAATGAATGAATGAATTTCTCGATTTCTCCCCGCCCCCGCTGTGTTTCTCATAGTACCAGAGATTGAACCCAGAGCCTACACAAAGAGTTACATCCCCAACAATTTATTCATTAGTTTGCTTTATAGTACTGAGACTGAACCCAGGGCCTTCTTACTGTGCTATGTTTCTAACCTTTATTTTAATTTTTAAAATTTTGGGACAATAGAGCCGGGGATTTAGCTCAGTGGTTCTGGTGCCTGCCTCGCAAGTGCAAGGGCCCAAGTTATATCCCTGGTACCCCCCCAAAAGGGGGGGGACAAGATCACTAAATTGTCTGGGCTGAGTTCAAACTTTCCTCTTCTTCTTCTTCTTCTTCTTCTCTCTCTCTCTCTCTTTTTTTCTTCCTGGTACTGGGGATCAAACTCAGGACCTTGCACTTGCAAGACAGACATGATGCCTGACCCTCTTTTTTTTGAGATAGGGTCTGGCTATATAGTTTAGGCTGGGCTTGAACTTACTATGTAGCCCAGGCTGGCCTCAAACTCTTGGCAATCCTTCTGCCTCAGCCTCCTGAGTCCTGGGATTACAGAATGCACTACCATGCCTGGCTTTTATCATCACTTTCATGATATGTTACCCAAGCTGGCTTTGAATTCACAGAGATCCTCCTGCCTCAGCCACCCCAGTGCTGGGTTTATAGGCTTGCACAACTACCCTAGCTATAATCCGCTTTCTAAAAGAAAGAAACTTTGTAGCGTGTATGAATGTTGAAACAACATCTTGCTTCACTTTTCGACTTTTGTTGTTGTTTCAGACAGGGTCTTGCTATATACTTTAAACTGGCCTTGAACTCCCTATGTAGCCCAGACTGGCCTTGAACTCATGGTGATCCTCCTGCCTCAGCCTCCCAAGTGTGTGCCACTGCACCCAGTACCATCATGTCTCCATATTACAGATGAGGGAACTAAGAGCCTCAGAGTAATTAAATGATTTTCCCAATAGCATCTAGTTAACAAGCAGAGAGACCTTTTGTTGTTGTTTTGTTTCAGTGTTTTTGAGACAAGGTCTCACTATATAGTGCAGGCTGACCAGCCTCCTGGGTGCTGGCTGCAGAGAGCCTGATTGCAAGCCCAAGAGAGATGGGGTGTACTCCTATGTGCCCTCTCTCCTGTCTCTACTGTGATTCCTGTTTGCCTGTAGTGGTGGTTGCCTCTTGTCATTTCTCTGTAGCGTTCCATGCTTCAGCGTGTCTCCTGCTAGCGGATCTGGGGCTGTCTGCGGTGCTTCTGTTGGAGCAATGTGGCGATGTTGGCTGCCACACCCATCTTGCCCACGTTGACCTGCATGATTTCAGGGGGCAAGCGCTGAGTTACAGGGTGTGCAGTGCAACTTTTCCAGATGATGCCAAAATGCTTCTCCAAGTGAGTGCTAGCTCAGTCCCTGCCTCTCTGGGCCTCATTTTTCCTATTCATGATGCAGGCTATTTGGAGACAGGCTGCTCTCAGGTCCAGGGCAAGTGGTCTGGTTGCGGAGCAGATCTGGGTTGTAACTGACATGATCGGCTTCCTAAACAGACTCCCCAAAAAGACAGTATGGGGGCTGGGGATGTAGCTCAGTGGCTCTGTGCCTGCCTTGCAAGTGTAAGGTCCTGAGTTTGATCCCTAGTACCAAAAAAAAAAAAGAAGAAGAAGAAGAAGAAGCAGCAGCAGCACTGTGGGCTGGGGATGCAGCTCAGTGCTAGAGCACTTACCTGACACGTGTGAAGCTCTGGATTCCATCCCCAGTACCACAGAAATAAATAAACAAGTATAAAATATAAACTTACACTTTTACAAAGCCATTGCATGTGCTCATTTGCACACTGCTCATTAGGAAGTCTCTCTGCCAAGCCTATGAAAAATATCTGGCACAAACCAGACACGCAGCAGTGTGTTGAAGGTAAGCATGAAAGATTAATAATGATGTCTTTTTTTTCTTTTGTGCAGTGCTGGGGATGGAGCTCAGAGCCTTGCACATGCTAAGCAAGTGTTTCACCATCGACACATCCCCAGCCTTTTTCATTTTATTTTTTACTTTATTTTTTCCAGCCCTTTAAAAATTCTGAGCCAAGGTCTTGCTAAATTGCTGAGACTAGCTTTGTACTTGTGATCCTTCTGCCTCAGCCTTCCAAGTAGCTGGAATTATGGGTGTCGACAAATCATGTCTTTGTATTTATTATTATTGTTGTTGTTATTTGTGGGGATTAAACCTCTGGTCCTTTGTGCTGAGCTATATCTCCAGCACCAATCCTCTATTTTTTACTTTTTATTTATTTATTTGTTTGTTTATTTATTTATTTGATACCAAGGATCAAACTTGGGACCTTATGCTTGCGAAGTAAGTGGTGACACCACTGAGCTAAATCCCTGGCCCTACTTTAAAAAAATTTTTTTAAACCGGGTTTCCTGGAGCCAGGGATTTAGCTCAGTGGTTCCGCTGCCTGCCTCACAAGCACAAGGTCCTGAGTTCAACCCCTGGTACCAAAAACAAAACAAAACAAAAAACAAAAAACAGAATCTCTTTATGTAGCCCAGTTTGGCCTTGAACTTGCAGCGATTCTCAGCTTCCTGTGTGCTAGGAACACAGGTGTGTGCCACTATGGCCAGCCCAGTTCTTTCTATTTATTGTTCATGGGCTGGGGATTTAGCTCAGTGGTTCCGCTGAGTGCCTCGTAAGCACAAGGACCCAAGTTTGATCCCCGGTACCAGAAAAGCAAACAAACAAACATAAGCATTATTTATTATTTGTTTATTTAATTTTGAGGCAGGGTCTTGATAAATTACTAAATTGCCCAGGCTGGGCTTGATCTTGTCATCTTCCTGCCTCAGCCTTTCAGTGCTGGGATTACAGGTTCATGTCACTGTGCCTGGCCAATATATCTAATTTGATTATTTTTACCAAAAAAGGCAGGGAGGGGCTGCGGATGTGCTCAGTGGCACAGCACCTGCCTGGCAAGTGTGAGGCCCTGATTTGATTCTTGGTACCAAA